ATGTTTGTCATTATCATATAGAGCTGTTATAGTTTTTTTGCGTCCCTGTTTAGCTTCGTCCGAGTTACCGTGGGGAGGTTTCATATCTCTTAATCAAAATATACCATATGTCCTAAAAAGGGAGTTTTGATATGATATACCAAGGTCATTATGGAATGGTTTTATATACTTTACGCTTTACACAATCAGGCGATGGTTGTCGCTTTGCCGTGTATTGTATTTTTCCCCAAATCAAAGCCTTTCTTTTCGCGAATAGATATGCCAGTTTTTCTTTCTGTTCTTCCCCCCCCCTCTTTCTCTCTCCCTCTCTCATCTTCTCTCTCTCTCTCATCTCTCTCATCTCTCTCTCTCTCTCTCTCTCTCTCTCTCTTCTCTCTCTCTCTCTCTCTCTCTCTCTCTCTTTCTGCTCTCTCTTCTTCCTCTTCCTCCCTCTTCCTCCCTCCTCCTTACCTTCCGCCGATAATACAGGATGTTGACGCGACAGAAAAATTTATTAATCATCTCCGCCCTCCACTCTCCTCATCCTCCTCCTTCCTGCTCCACTCTCCTCATCCTCATCTTCCCTCCTCCCACTCTCCTCCATCTTCCTCCCCACTCTCTCCATCCCTCCCATCCTTCCCTCCCCACTACTCCTCCATCACCATCTTACTCCTCCCACTCTCCTCATCCGCTCCATCCTTCTCCCTCCCACTTCCTGCTCATCCCCTCCTTCTCCTCCACTACTCCTCATCCTCCTCCCCCCCACTCTCCTCCTCTCATCCTTCCCCTCCATTCTCCTTCCATCCTGCATCTTCCCTCGCTCCATTCTCCTCATCCGTCATCCTTCCTCCTCCACTCTCTCATCTTCCTCCCTCCTCCATTCCTTTCCTTCTCATCTCTTCTCCCTCCACTCTCCTCCATCCTCCATACTCCCTCCTCACCTCTCGCTTCCATCCCTCCATCCTTCTCTCCACTCTCCTCATCCTCCATCCTCTCTCCCACTCTCCTCTCCTCATCTCATCCTCCCACTCTCCCTCATCCTTCCTTCCCCCCTCTCTCATCTCCTCCTTCCTTCCCACTCTCGCTTCCATCTTACCTCTCCCACTCTCCTCCATCCTCATCCTTCTCTCTCCACTCTCTCTCCATCCTTACGGCCCCCACTTCTCCCTCATCCTCCATCCTTCCTCTCCCACTCTCCTGCATCCTTCTCCTCCATTCTCCCTCCATCCTCATCCTTCTCCTCCATCCTTCCCTTCTCATCTTCTTCCTCCATCCTCCTCCCTCCCTCCCACTCTCCTCATCTCGATCCTTCTCCTCCCACTCTCCACTCGCATCCTTCCTCTCTCATTCTCCCTCCATCCTCATCCATTTTCCTCCTCCACCCTCCCTCCATCCTCAATCCTTCCTCCCTCCCACACTCCTCCATCTCACCTTCCATCCTCCCTCTCCCTCCATCCATCCTCCCCACTTCCTCATAACTTCCCTCCCCAATTCTCCTCCATCCTTCCCTCCATCCACTTCCCCCTCCACTCTCCTCCATCCCTCATCCTCCATTCCCCTCCCTCCCACTCTCCTCCCATCCTTCCCTCCTCCTCCCCCCCTCTCCTCATCCACCATCCTTCCCTCACTCCCTCTCCCCCCTCCCCATCCTCCATCCTTTCCCTCCTCCCCCACCTTCTCTCCTCCATCACCATCCTTCTCCCCACTCTCTCCTCCATCCTTCATCCCTCCCACTCTCCTCCCTCCCCTCCTTCCATCCCCCTCCTCCATCCTCCATCCTTCTTATCACTCTCCCTTTCTCCATCCCTCCCCACTCTGCCTCCTTCCTCATCCTTCCTCCCTCCACTCTCCTCCATCTCCTCAATCCCCCCCATCTCCTCCCTCCATCCTTCGCTCCTCCCATCTCCTCCATCTCCATCCCCCCACTCTCCTCCCATCCCTCCATCCCTTCCTCCTCCCACTCTCTGCTCCATCCTCCCCCCACCTCCTCCATCCCTCATCCTCTCCCTCCCTCACTCTCCTCCATCCCTCCCTCCCCCCCCCTCCATCCCTCCATCCTCCATCTTCCTCCACCCCTCTCCCTTCCATCCTCCCTCCCTCCACTGCTCTCCTCCATCCCTCCATCCTTCCTCCCTCCACCACTCCCTCCATCCTCCATCTTCTCCTCCACTCTCCCTCATCCCTCCCTCCATCCTTCCCCTCCCTCTCGCCTCTCCTCCCTCTCCCTCCCTTCCATCTCACTCCATCCTCCATCCTTCCCTCCCACTCTCCCTCACATCCCTCCTCCCCACCTCCTCCATCGCCTCCATCCTTCCCTCCGCCCACCTCCCTCCATCCTTCCATCCCTCTACTCTCTTCCATCCTCCTCCCCCACTCTCCCTCCTCCCTCCATCCCTCCTCCCCCACTCTCCTCCATCCTCCCTCCCTCCCTCCTCCCACTCTCCTCCATCCCTCCATCCTTCCTTCCCCCACTCTCCTCCTCCCTCCCTCCCTCCCTCCACTCTCCTCCATCCTCATCCTTCCTCCAGCCCACTCTCCCTCAATCTTCCCATCCTCT